TTGCGTGGAGCCTTGAGGACGCTCCTGACCCCACCCGGGATGAAGATCACCTCCCTGCTTTTCACCTACACGCTGGGAAGCGAACTCCGAAGGCCCGGCGCGCCCAGGTGCGCGCGCCTGTTGGTGACTTCGGCTTCGCGTCGAGATGCATCTCCGCGGAACCTGAAGGTTGCTGACCATTTGGCAGATTCCCTTCCCAGAGGCGCGAGACACGCCAACTTTTTGCCTAGGAATACCAGGCCTTCAACTAGAGCCAGGAAGGAGCACTGGAGGCCCGGCCGACCCTCCGGTAGCATCGACCTGGTGGCGCGCAATACGCCAACCAACATTACCAACAGTGTCGTACTTGTACGGCTCCCAAGACCGGCTCATTGATATGAGCTGTGAGGATTACCCGGGTAATGGGGAACTCCCCGAGGCCCGATACCTGCATGGGATAAACAAAAGTAGTCCCATAGCAGACGACAATCAATATACAAATCGTTCGGGACCAGCTACCAGTATATAATATAATCAAGAAAGAAAAGTATATAGGGAAGTGATAGGGAAAGTAATTACTCTCTCACGGAACGGTTTGAAGATAATTACTGTTTTATTCCCATGGGATCCTTCACCTTTAAAATAAGTAGAGTTCATTGGTGTCGCTAGCGCGGCACATATTGAAGAATTAAGGCGTTGGGACCGGGACGACCTCGGAAGACCCGTAATGCCAGCATGAACCTATTCGAAGAAAAAGAAGAGGTCGACGCCCTTGTGTGTTACTCCGTTGCGGGGTTCACATACGTTGTTCCCGAATCCAACGTTGGTGTCATAGGAGGTTAGGGAATCCGCTGCTGAACGAGCCGTGACAAAGACCCTTCCCTCGTTCCTGTCCTTTTTCAGGTATTTTCACTTTCTTAATGAAGGAAATGGAATCTCTTGTGAACAGTATGCCAAAGGTTACTGTCTGTTAGCATTTGGCTTAACTCCTGATTTATCAGCCAACTAAACGTTATTATTATGTGAAATAAAAAATGTAAGTGTTGGTGTAAACAATTAATATATATTGTGTACTATAACTAATGCTTTTGGGAAATCAAACGAAATTTATGATTAATTGAAAATTTTATTTTCAAGCAATAACCACTTGTAAAAAACCCACACTTCGTCACAAGAACAATGTAAAATTTTGTGATTATTTTTAGCAAATATATGATTATTACACACATAACGTTTGTTTAAATGTATGACATTTACTAAATCATTGTATTTTGGACATTTGTATTCTTCAATATTAAAAATTCTATCATTCGCCGTTAACATTTTAAAAAATTGTTTTTCTGCTGAACCACCTTTGTATGCGATCACTTCGTCTTTGCACAAATTTCTAATATACCAATTTAGTATGGGGATGATGTTCTCTTGTTTGAGGCAATTTTTAATTCTTCGGTCACATCAAAATATGGAATGCCGTGCACGTGTGTTTCACAATAACGAACAGTTTTTTGTCTTTTGGCGACAAATAATTGAAAGGATAACTTGGCCGAAACAAATAATGATCGATAAACGCATCTTTTTCATTAGATAGTTTTACGTCTAGAATAGCCATTTCTCTACATTGAAAATGTTTATGAAGATATGTAATGTAAAATCCGTCCATGTCGATGATGTATCTAATATTTTTTAGATTTTGTGTCATATTGAACCAAAATGTTAAAAGTATTTACACGTGACTAAAAATGTGTTTGTTCCAACAAACTTCACATAATAATGCTTCATTACTTTCCATCATCCCATTTCTTCCTTCTGCTCTTGTCTTTCTGTAATTTAAGTAAACATAATCACATTCACTAATGATCAACTAATGAATGTCATTGTTAAAAGAGGATTTTTTTCACTTTCTGCTATTGTCTTTGTATTTATGGCTAGGAAATGTCCGCCGCGCTGCCTCAACGCGTGTTGGCGAACTTCACATGCCTTCGAAATTTTCTTAGATATGCAGGTTTCCTCACGATGTTTTCCTTCACCGCCGAGCACGTGGTAAATCAGCACTTAAAATTGCAATTAACAATTTAATTCGTGCCGGCGGGGATCGAACCCGGGTCGCGTACTGTGAAATTTACAGCTTGCGATAACTATCTGAGCTACCACGGCTTAATCGTATACACACACAATATTTAAATATAATTTGTTAACACTAAATCATACACACGTAAGAAAATAACAGAAAGAAAAGTAAGTTTGTCAATAGAATAAACACTTAAAATTGCAATTAACAATTTAATTGGTGCCGGCGGGGATCGAACCCGGGTCGCGTACTGTGAAATTTACAGCTTGCGCTAACCATCTGAGCTACCACGGCTTAATCATATACACACGCAATATTTAAATATAATTTGTTAACACTAAATCATACACACGTAAGAAAATAACAGAAAGAAAAGTAAGTTTGTCAATAGAATAAACACTTACATTCATGGCCTTTGATACGTTGAAGTAACACAATTGTAGTATTGATAGATCCACTGCGGTCAAACGATCATACACTAACTCCATGACTGCAGTTGCTTGGTCTTATATAGTACCAGTAAGTAATAATTCTAATCTAAAGAATTTCTGCAGTGGAATTGATAGTAACTTTATGCGTCAACAAGCTTATCTCACATTCTGTTGCTTATCTCAGCATTACTTTGTGTTGCGTCTTGTTCAGTGTATTGATGACTCAAATACGTTTTGTATAACACAAAATAATGCAATTTAATATTTAGAAATCACTATAATTGATCATTCCTATGTTAGTCATTGAGTAGATTGGTCCTGTAGTAATCTACTAATAGCAGTAATATCATGGATACACTAGATGTACAACAACATCTGAAAAAGATTCACCCCAGTCTAGAAAATAATGTTTATGCTGCCAATAGACCGCCCATGTACACCCACGTGCCAACTTATATAATATGCAATTTGGATACAGATAATAAACCAAGGTCACATTGGGTAGCTTTATATATCGATACGAGTGACGTCGGTCAATATTTTGATTCATCGGACGAGCACCTGTACGATATCATCTAGAGTTTTTAAAAAGAAATTGTAAAAGATGGAACTGAAATGTTGATAGGATTCAGAATGAGTGGACTTCAGTTTGTGGCGAATATTGCTTAATATATTTGCTATATAAGTTTCAGGGATGTACAATGCATAGTTTTACGAGTATATTTACAGGGAACACATTGTACAACGATATTTTAGTGGATGAGATGTTTCGCTCCTATTTTATAGATAATAAGTAATAACATTTTGTAAATAAAAATTGTAACAAAATTAGGTAATGTATTTTATTGATGATTCAGATTAGCGTTGTAGATAGGAACAAAGGAGTATAATACAATAGCACTGATAATCCGACGCACACACCGAGGAATAATAGATAATGACGGTATTCAATGAACAATAGATAAATAGATAAGAACAATGGAGCGCTATTGACGGTGGAGGCCCCCACCGGATATCAATTAGATAAGAGCTAATTGATCTGCACATTTCCGGAACCGTGCATCCTACGCAAAAACGGACCGCAGATTCGTGATCAGAGCATGCCAAAACCTTTTTTTTTTAGGATCGTGAGTCGACGAACGTTGTACCACTTCCGACTCAGTGAGCCAGAACTGGTACTAACTAACTACTACGTCTTTTTCAAAATCTCTCTCCTTCGATATCTCACGAACGAGTGAACTGATTTTTATTTTTCACGCGGCATTCGACGTCTTTTTCTGAAATTGATCGGTAAAGCCGTTTAAAAGTTCTGCCAAGAAAACAGTTTTTCAAAATTTTAATTTTTGAGATTTCTCAAAATCTTCTCGTCCGAATCTGTTCATATTATCACCAAATCTATTCCACATTGAGTCGCCGCAAACCGGCATCTCTATCGATCAAGACGTACGGACGTCCACGTGAAATTAGTCAGAATAGCTTCCTGGGATCTCAAAACGTCGAGATCTGGTGAAAACTCGATTTTCGAAAATCGGGGTGAACGCAATAACTTCCTTATTTTTTGAAAAGTTTTAAATTTTCTTAGCGGGAAATTAAAAATATGAGAAATCGTCGTCGTAGTGGATGGACGTCGTGGTGTATGATACCGATCCATTGAAAATGAACATTGTAATAAATAACTTGAATCATATAAATTTTTCAATTTCCAGCATCTAAAAAAATTCTTTTAGTTGCTCCAGTCCAGCTGCAGCAAAGCATACACGTACACTTCGGTACGGCGCTCGACAACAGCTAAGCGACGCAGTTAAATGTAAACATTGCCATTCTTTGCCCGTTCTTTGGCTTCTGCACTAAAACGCTAATTTGGAGAGCGTTCCGCAACGCCAGACACAGCGGCACGAGCAGGACAAGTGACCAGTTTTCAAATTCGCGCGACTCACTTCCCTGCTCACTGCCGCGGACGTGGACTGAATGCAAATAAGATAGTTTAAATTATAACTATGCTAAGTTAATTCTTTCACTTTATTAACATATACAACACAAATTGAATGTTAGTAAATATAAATGCTCTATTCATGCTACATGATTATTTACATTTTCATATAATATAGGATTTTATTTGCTGTATTTAAATTTATTATATAATTTTGTTTTAAACATGATTTTTACAATAACAGAAAGAGTCAGTCGTTCTGCTATTTATTTATTTTATTTATTGAGCGTTATCTGCATCAGGAGCAAATTTTTGTGTAGAGTGCAAATTGTAGCTCACTATATGCAAATTTGAATTTATAGAGAAATTCCTCGCTCCCGATATCTGATCCTCGAGGTGTCACCGGAGTCGTCGATACAGGGACGCGCCAAAGAAGAAACTTTCCTAAATAGCTTTATATATTTTTAGGTTAAAGTATATACTGCTATGCAGACCAATATTCTTAATTTTTAAGTTCTTGATGTCTGAAATAAAGACAGTGTCATGTATTGTATTGTAGCGTATTGTATAAAGTAGAATTGGGTTGTGGCAGGCGGAGTAGCGGGCGAGCAGCAGTGCAACAGCTGCGAGGACACGGAGCCCGCCACCAGCTACTGCGTGGACTGCGCAGAGTTTATCTGCGACAACTGCGTCAGTGCGCATCAGAGGTGACATTTTGTTGAAAATATTTTAATACTGCTATAAACAGCGCTGATATTTGTAATTTATTAATTTGCATGCTTATTTTACGCTTTAATTTAATAGGAGAGTTTTCCTATTTACTATAACTGTACATGTTCAAAGTTATAAGGTAATAAATATAGACAAATTTTATTTAGCTATTGCAATATTTTTGTTCTTAACATGGTACAGCCTCGCTACAGTATTATGAGAGCAATAGTATTTGTGCATAAGCACGACCGGAGCAAGACCATGGTCGCATAATGCTAGCATGGAATAGTAGCGTAGTGCTGTTACTGTGTTTCGTATGGTAAGTGAAGTGAAATAGAGATTCTCTATACTGGCAAAGAGGCATTCCATCTTAGTCCACGGAAGTGACAATGTATTTAGGCACAAAGCAATGTCAGTCAAGGTCTGAAAAGAAAAGAGTAACGCACAAGCTGTGTGTATATCTATATCAGCAATTTTGAGCCACTTTCGAACTCCTACAACTCCAAAACTATAAGATCTGCATACAACACATGCCTAATAAGGACCAATTGAACATCGATTGTTCTTAATGTAGGGATTTGTTTAATATTCCATATTTTTACATTATGATTCGATTCTGAGCTATGTTCAAAATGTCGACTGTGTCCAGCTCATCGAGAATTTAGTTAAAAATCAATTTTTAAATTCGACCCGAACAGACAGACACACACGAAAGTGAGTTAATAAAACGTGGTAAATAAGCGTTTATGGATAATGACGTTTATTTGATAGAGTCACGCTGCAGCTATATTATGGTTGTAGCACGAATGGGTCGGCTCGATCAGGGAAGGACCACGTTCTCACAGAATACCAGCGTAAAATTGCAGCTTAACGCGAACGGAAACGAGGCATTCCACCTTAGCCCTCAGGGGTGACAACGCATCTGCATTTTGATTCTTGATCGAGTATAAATGTAAATGTCTATTATGGGCCACAGCATCCAGTTATCATCAGGTGAACTGTGTGCTCGTTTGTCTTCCTTCTTTTATTAAAACTTACGTGTAGAGGCCACGGTATCCACTTACCATCAGGTATGCTAGTGCTTATTTGTCACCATTATTCTCTGACAAAAAAAAGAGGAATAGGAAGTAAATAGAGTGCAGTTGCAAAGTGTATGGTTATACAAGATATGCATGTGGTCGGTGTGGTGCGCGCGGCGTGCGGCGGGCAGGCTGAAGATCACGAAGGATCACAGCATCAAGTCGCGCGAGGAGGCGCTGCAGGAGCTGCAGGCGGCGCAGGGCGGCGCACGCCAGGCGCACGACATGTTCTGCCGCGACCACCCACAGGTACGCTGCGCGCTCTCTGCTAGCTCTGCGCTACCTCCGCTCTGTGTAGATACTAGTTGGGCTGAAAAGTTCGTATCGTTTTATAGAAAAACACATTTTTTGGCAAAATTCGATTTTATTATTCAACATAGTTGCCATCGAGGGCGATATACCGATTATAGCGATCTTCCAACTTTTCAATACCATTTTTGTAGTACGATTTGTGTTTAGCCTCAAAATAGGCCTTTGTTTCGGCGATTACTTCCTCATCGGCTTTAAATTTCTTTCCAGCGAGCATTCTCTTGAGATCTGAGAACAGGAAAAGAAACAGCGGAAGCAATTCGAAGCCCAATTCATGCAATTTTTCCATCGTTTTCATCGATTTGTGACACGGCGCATTATCTTGATGAAACAACACTTTCTTCTTCTTCAAATGGGGCCGTTTTTTCGCGATTTCGTCCTTCAAACGCTCCAATAACGCTATATAATAGTCGCTGTTGATGGTTTTTCCCTTTCCAAGATAGTCGATGAAAATTATTCCATGTGCATCCCAAAATACGGACGCCATAACCTTACCGGCCGACTGTTGAGTTTTTCCACGCTTTGGATTCGGTTCATCGCGTGCACTCCATTCAGATGACTGCCGACTGGACTCCGGAGTGTAGTGGTGGATCCATGTTTCATCGATTGTCACATATCGACGCAAAAATTCACTTCTATTGCGGTTGAACAGCTCCAAACATTGCTCTGAAGCATCGACACGTTCTTGTTTTTGGTCGATTGTGAGCTCGCGCGGCACCCACTTTGCACATAGCTTTCGCATACCCAAATATTCATGAACGATATGTCCAACACGTTCCTTTGATATCTTTAGAGTGCCAGCTATACAAATCAACCTCAATTTACGATCTTCCAAAATCATTTTGTGGATTTTTTTATGTTTTCGTCCGTAACAGCCTCTTTTGGACGTCCACTGCGTTCATCGTCTTCGGTGCTCATATGGCCTGTACGGAATTTGGCAAACCACTTACGAATGGTTTTTTCGCCCGGCGCAGAGTCCGGATAACACTCATCAAGCCACTTTTTGGTATCAGCAACACTTTTTTTCATCAAAAAATAGTGTTTCATTAAAACACGAAATTCCTTTTTATCCATTTTTTTCAAAATAACAAAAGTTGCTTCACTCAAAATGCTGTATCTCACAAACTAATAATCAGACAGCTGTCAAATTTATACACGTTTCTTTTGAAGGTTGGTACTACCTAAAAATGATATGGATTTTATTCTAGTGGCGCCATCTCATAGAGACGATACGAACTTTTCAGCCCAACCAATATATCGCCTATGTAAACTTAAAAAGAAAGAACAGACAAAACTATTATAAAATAAAGTAATATATGCGTGACATCACCTGGTGCAGTAATTTTCATGATTTCTTTCCATTTTTATCAATTAACGTTAACCTTTGTTTATTGACTATATTATTAAATTTAGACTTAAATATCTATTAAAGTAGATGCGACTACACGTGGCATGGTGTCACCAAATGCTGTAATTCATTGCATTTGCTCTTCACTTGCTTAAATAAGGTTGACATAATGATTTCTTATATTTACGCGAACACTATACATGATTAAAACTACTTTTACGGATTTTATCGCGTTTATTTTTACTTTTTATTTACTTTTATTTTTAATTCCCGACGTTTCGGGCGCTTTCCAGCACCCATGGTCACGGGGGACTGAGATGACTGACGTCCCGATGTCATTGTTAAACCCGGAGTACCTTCAGCTTTTTTAATTATTGTTTATGGTATAAACGAAACACGAAAAAAAATACGGTTAACCATCGAGATATCATATCAATTACTTAAACATATTTTAATATGTTTAAGTAATCGATGACCATTTCCTAAATCATTTTGGCGGTAACTATGAAAACTTTTTTCTTGTTTGTCATAACCTTTTTCGTGGGATTATAACTTTTTGTTAATTTATTTGGGAGTGATTTTAATACAAAAGCTGACCCCGAAAATATTTAACATACGAGTACGAGTATTTTTTCTCCATTAAACATATATTTGAAGTCAATTTTACTGGTGTTTAATAAAAAATTGGTAATTTTAGTTGTATCAAAAATGATACATTATGCAGTTAGTAGGTCCCGTTCGTACATTTTCGCTATTATAGTACGCCTGTATGTTATGTGATTGTACTTTTGGAGAACGGAATAAAGAAAATAAAAGATAATGAGATCGAAGACCTTTTAGCAAGATTGAAAGGTGTGGATCTTCTATCAGAGAACGAAGCAGAGTCTGATAATGATGAATTAGATTATCACCCACATATTGATGAAATTCGTGCTGCTTTAGAAAATTACGAGGAAGAAAAAATGTGTTCCGGTGATTCCCGTAACCATCAAATCCAGGACGAAGACGATCCACCACTTGTAAATGATGAAAATTATATGCGAAATGGTGATGATCCTCCCCTAGTGAATGAAGGTAGTGGTTATGCACAAAATATTCCCAACAGGCGTCATATTACGATTGAAACTGCTAGACTCACATGGAGGAAACGTTCCTTAGAATTTTGGGAAGATATTATTCGTTTTCAGAACGAGGCAGAGTATTCACCCGAAGTTATAGCCCTAGAAACTCCATATCAATTTTTCGGTTATTTTTTACTGCTGATTTTTTAGATAAGATTATAAAAGAATTTACTCGATATTCAATCCAAAAAAACTTCGACCGACCAGATCCAATCACAATATCAGAGTTACAAAAGTACTAATATCTATATGTCAGTTTTTCATTATCCAAATATAGGAGCTTACTGGGATAAAAAATACGAAATCATGCCAATTATACAAGGTATGACATTAAATAGATTTAAAAAAATTAGAAGTATATAACATTTTAATGACAACTCCAAACATCTGCCTATAAACAACCGTAATCACGATAAACTACACAAGCTACGACCTGTGGTAGAACATCTGAATGAGAGTTTCCAGCATTCCTATAGATCAAAGGCTTTCCATTGATGAACACATAAAAATGTGTGTAACGAAAATGGGTCACTTCCTAAAACAATACCTCCCAAATAAACCTCACAAATGAGGGTTCAAACTTTCTATGCTACGTTTTCTTGCAGAGTATGTAGGTAAGCATACAATATTGAACCTATGATGGAAAACAAACCTGATCTGGGAGTGGTTGGGAACACTGTTGTAAAATTGTTGAGGGTTGTTCAACGCAAAGTAAACCACATTGTTTACTTTGACAATTTCCAAAAAAATTGGGCAATCTTTACAACATACTTTCATATTTCCAAACTATTCCGGTATATACAGTGCCGAGTGGAAGTTCTCCTCTTTTCCTTCCAAGTCTACACCTTTATCAAATATTCAATCAAAGTTAGAAACCGTCCTTATTTGGCAGCTATTATATGATTATTGCTTGGTAAAAAAGGTAAAGAAATTTAATAAGCATTCTGACGCAGGAGAGGCTGAGCCTGTTCTGCGAGACGTGCGACCGGCTGACTTGCCGCGACTGCCAGCTGCAGCACCACCGCGACCACAAGTACCAGTTCAGCACCGAGATGGCCGCGCAGGTAACCTCCCACTCACCGCTGCAACTGGAGCCTTCTCCTTGAGACGTGCGACTGGCTGACGTGCCGCGACTGCCAGCTGCAGCACCACCGCGACCACAAGTACCAGTTCAGCACCGAGATGGCCGCGCAGGTAACCTCCCACTCACCGCTGCAACTGAGGCCTTCTCCTTGAGACGTGCGACCGGCTGACGTGCCGCGACTGCCAGCTGCAGCACCACCGCGACCACAAGTACCAGTTCAGCACCGAGATGGCCGCGCAGGTAACCTCCCACTCACCGCTGCAACTGGAGCCTTCTCCTTGAGACGTGCGACCGGCTGACGTGCCGCGACTGCCAGCTGCAGCACCACCGCGACCACAAGTACCAGTTCAGCACCGAGATGGCCGCGTAGGTAACCTCCCACTCACCGCTGCAACTGGAGCCTTCTCCTTGAGACGTGCGACCGGCTGACGTGCCGCGACTGCCAGCTGCAGCACCACCGCGACCACAAGTACCAGTTCAGCACCGAGATGGCCGCGCAGGTAACCTCCCACTCACCGCTGCAACTGGAGCCTTCTCCTTGAGACGTGCGACCGGCTGACGTGCCGCGACTGCCAGCTGCAGCACCACCGCGACCACAAGTACCAGTTCAGCACCGAGCTGGCCGCGGAGGTAACCTCCCACTCACCGCTGCAACTGGAGCCTTCTCCTTGAGACGTGCGACCGGCTGACGTGCCGCGACTGCCAGCTGCAGCACCACCGCGACCACAAGTACCAGTTCAGCACCGAGATGGCCGCGTAGGTAACCTCCCACTCACCGCTGCAACTGGAGCCTTCTCCTTGAGACGTGCGACCGGCTGACGTGCCGCGACTGCCAGCTGCAGCACCACCGGGACCACAAGTACCAGTTCAGCACCGAGATGGCCGCGCAGGTAACCTCCCACTCACCGCTGCAACTGGAGCCTTCTCCTTGAGACGTGCGACCGGCTGACGTGCCGCGACTGCCAGCTGCAGCACCACCGCGACCACAAGTACCAGTTCAGCACCGAGATGGCCGCGCAGGTAACCTCCCACTCACCGCTGCAACTGGAGCCTTCTCCTTGAGACGTGCGACCGGCTGACGTGCCGCGACTGCCAGCTGCAGCACCACCGCGACCACAAGTACCAGTTCAGCACCGAGATGGCCGCGCAGGTAACCTCCCACTCACCGCTGCAACTGGAGCCTTCTCCTCGAGACGTGCGACCGGCTGACGTGCCGCGACTGCCAGCTGCAGCACCACCGCGACCACAAGTACCAGTTCAGCACCGAGATGGCCGCGCAGGTAACCTCCCACTCACCGCTGCAACTGGAGCCTTCTCCTTGAGACGTGCGACCGGCTGACGTGCCGCGACTGCCAGCTGCAGCACCACCGCGACCACAAGTACCAGTTCAGCACCGAGATGGCCGCGCAGGTAACCTCCCACTCACCGCTGCAACTGGAGCCTTCTCCTTGAGACGTGCGACCGGCTGACGTGCCGCGACTGCCAGCTGCAGCACCACCGCGACCACAAGTACCAGTTCAGCACCGAGATGGCCGCGTAGGTAACCTCCCACTCACCGCTGCAACTGGAGCCTTCTCCTTGAGACGTGCGACCGGCTGACGTGCCGCGACTGCCAGCTGCAGCACCACCGCGACCACAAGTACCAGTTCAGCACCGAGATGGCCGCGCAGGTAACCTCCCACTCACCGCTGCAACTGGAGCCTTCTCCTTGAGACGTGCGACCGGCTGACGTGCCGCGACTGCCAGCTGCAGCACCACCGCGACCACAAGTACCAGTTCAGCACCGAGATGGCCGCGCAGGTAACCTCCCACTCACCGCTGCAACTGGAGCCTTCTCCTTGAGACGTGCGACCGGCTGACGTGCCGCGACTGCCAGCTGCAGCACCACCGCGACCACAAGTACCAGTTCAGCACCGAGATGGCCGCGCAGGTAACCTCCCACTCACCGCTGCAACTGGAGCCTTCTCCTTGAGACGTGCGACCGGCTGACGTGCCGCGACTGCCAGCTGCAGCACCACCGCGACCACAAGTACCAGTTCAGCACCGAGATGGCCGCGCAGGTAACCTCCCACTCACCGCTGCAACTGGAGCCTTCTCCTTGAGACGTGCGACCGGCTGACGTGCCGCGACTGCCAGCTGCAGCACCACCGCGACCACAAGTACCAGTTCAGCACCGAGATGGCCGCGTAGGTAACCTCCCACTCACCGCTGCAACTGGAGCCTTCTCCTTGAGACGTGCGACCGGCTGACGTGCCGCGACTGCCAGCTGCAGCACCACCGCGACCACAAGTACCAGTTCAGCACCGAGATGGCCGCGTAAGTAACCTCCCACTCACCGCTGCTACTGGAGCCTTCTCCTTGAGACGTGCGACCGGCTGACGTGCCGCGACTGCCAGCTGCAGCACCACCGCGACCACAAGTACCAGTTCAGCACCGAGATGGCCGCGTAGGTAACCTCCCACTCACCGCTGCAACTGGAGCCTTCTCCTTGAGACGTGCGACCGGCTGACGTGCCGCGACTGCCAGCTGCAGCACCACCGCGACCACAAGTACCAGTTCAGCACCGAGATGGCCGCGTAGGTAACCTCCCACTCACCGCTGCAACTGGAGCCTTCTCCTCGATACGTGCGACCGGCTGACGTGCCGCGACTGCCAGCTGCAGCACCACCGCGACCACAAGTACCAGTTCAGCACCGAGATGGCCGCGCAGGTAACCTCCCACTCACCGCTGTAACTGGAGCCTTCTCCTTCCGTAGCTGATGGTGCCACTTTGTTGAGTAGGACGTATAATGTGATTGAGCCACGCTGCAGATATACTATGGTTATAGCACGAATGGGTTGGCTCGACCAAGGACCACGCTTTTACAGAATACCAGCATAAAATAGCAGCTCAGTACTGCTGTATTTAGTATGTGTAAAGAATCGGAAATCCTTTTTACTGAAAACAAAACATTTTTAGTCCTCAGGGGTGACAACACACCTGCATGCAAGTGTAGTGAGTGTGTGTGGTCGTGTGTGACCGTTGTTGCGTGTGCAGGCGCGGGCCAGCATCTCGGCGCTGCTGTCGGAGGTGAGCTACAAGCGCGTGCTGCTGGGCTCCGCCATGAAGGTCATCCGCGACCGCCAGCACCTCATCGCCGAGAAGAAGAAGGCGCTCGTGCACGAGATCACACAGACCGTTGTCAAGTTAGTCTCGCCTTACCTTTTTATTACATGGGGAAATGCCTACGCTAACCCGCCTTGCGGGGGTAGGACGGGTTATGTCGGACTCGCACCAACTAAAACCCCATGGTAATCCACCTTCGTCGCATATTTGGTAGGGCCACGGGAACATGGGGCGGCCCCACCAGCGCTGGCCGCCCCACGGCGGCACGGCAAAATTCGGCTGCGGAGGGTAGGGAGAGCGGCGCCTCGCGATACCGACACTCTCCCCCCAAAGGTCCACCACCACCGCATCAACGTTGCGGCCCCGTTTGAGTCGCGGAGGATAAGGCGAGTGGCGCATCGCCATACCAACACTCCTCTTCCTCTGCGACTCCACCTCGGCTGCAGCGGTAGGGGGAGAGGACACCCCTTTCGCCGCAGCCCACCAGCACACATCCGAAGTGGGCTCGCCAAGCCCACTCGGAGCGGCCACCTCTGGCCGGGTCTTCACCTCGGGCCAGCCACGTGGGTTCCCCTTTGTTCACCGCGGGTGACCACACCACGGCTACTAAGCCCCCCCGCCACGACAAGGCGGGAACCCGTTCGGGGGGGGGTCTCGCCTTGCCTAACGTAACCTAATCTAACCTTTCTATATCATCTAATCACCATTGTACCTGTAATAATTGTATTGTAATGTTTTTTGGAGAAAAGACAATGTTCATTATTTGTATGAAGTTATGGTGCATTTTCTTAAACTGATCACGGTATTACTACATCTCCCGTTAAGGATCCAATTAAGAATGAATAATTAAAAAGCAAATTCAGCTAAAATTTGCGTTTCAATTCAGGATTTTTTGAATAAAAAGAAGTATGATCTCTATTTATAATGCGTTATGGTTTTTACTCAAGCTGATGACGAGTAACATAGTAGTCATAGTAACATAAATGTAACATTTCTTAATTGCATAAATTTTTGAGAAAAATGATGTTGCACGGCTGTCGAAACATTTTTCTCCTTGCTAATTCTTGATTTGTCGACACTGGTTCTACTACAAATAATGCGCTTTGTCACTTCCTCTTCTATATAATTTTTCTTGAAAACTACCGATCTAAGCCATTGAACTCCAAAAGCTGCCTCAGTCGTACCTGACTTAACATTTACCAATGGTCTTGGTTTTTAAGAATACAGCACTGAGGCATTATTTTGTGTATGTACTAGGCCTTGAAAAAGTTTTATTTAAAACGCGCCATTTCAAAGATGATGACACTCTGTGATCATGTGCATAACAAATAAGTTCACCTTAGTCCAAACTAGGGACATCTGGTGAGCGTAAGGTGCTGAAACTGGTTTTATTTAAAAATTAGTGGACGAACCAGGTTGGATATTTAATTTTTTTTATTGGCTACCTGCACATGGAGAATGGAGGACTAACCTGGCGACATCCAGCGATGAATCTCGTATTCCTCACATTTGCCTAAATTTAGCCAGCGTGTGCACTGTTGACGAACGTCACGAGTGCAGGTTGTGTGTTGTGTGTGTACTATAGGCTGAGGCACGCGGTCAGTGTGTGCAGGTTGACGAACGTCACGAGTGCAGGTTGTGTCCTGTGTGTGTACTATAGGCTGAGGCACGCGGTCAGTGTGTGCAGGTTGACGAACGTCACGAGTGCAGGTTGTGTCCTGTGTGTGTACTATAGGCTGAGGCACGCGGTCAGTGTGTGCACGTTGACGAACGTCACGAGTGCAGGTTGTGTGTTGTGTGTGTACTATAGGCTGAGGCACGCGGTCAGTGTGTGCAGGTTGACGAACGTCACGAGTGCAGGTTGTGTCCTGTGTGTGTACTATAGGCTGAGGCACGCGGTCAGTGTGTGCAGGTTGACGAACGTCACGAGTGCAGGTTGTGTCCTGTGTGTGTACTATAGGCTGAGGCACGCGGTCAGTGTGTGCAGGTTGACGAACGTCACGAGTGCAGGTTGTGTCCTGTGTGTGTACTATAGGCTGAGGCACGCGGTCAGTGTGTGCAGGTTGACGAACGTCACGAGTGCAGGTTGTGTCCTGTGTGTGTACTATAGGCTGAGGCACGCGGTCAGTGTGTGCACGTTGACGAACGTCACGAGTGCAGGTTGTGTGTTGTGTGTGTACTATAGGCTGAGGCACGCGGTCAGTGTGTGCAGGTTGACGAACGTCACGAGTGCAGGTTGTGTCCTGTGTGTGTACTATAGGCTGAGGCACGCGGTCAGTGTGTGCAGGTTGACGAACGTCACGAGTGCAGGTTGTGTCCTGTGTGTGTACTATAGGCTTAGGCACGCGGTCAGTGTGTGCAGGTTGACGAAAGTCACGAGTGCAGGTTGTGTGTTGTGTGTGTACAGGCTGAGGCACGCGGTCAGTGTGTGCAGGTTGACGAACGTCACGAGTGCAGGTTGTGTGTGTACAGGCTGAGGCACGCGGTCAGTGTGTGCAGGTTGACGAACGTCACGAGTGCAGGTTGTGTGTTGTGTGTGTACAGGCTGAGGAACGCGGTCAGTGTGTGCAGGTTGACGAACGTCACGAGTGCAGGTTGTGTCCTGTGTGTGTACTATAGGCTGAGGCACGCGGTCAGTGTGTGCACGTTGACGAACGTCACGAGTGCAGGTTGTGTGTTGTGTGTGTACTATAGGCTGAGGCACGCGGTCAGTGTGTGCAGGTTGACGAACGTCACGATTGCAGGTTGTGTCCTGTGTGTGTACTATAGGCTGAGGCACGCGGTCAGTGTGTGCAGGTTGACGAACGTCACGAGTGCAGGTTGTGTCCTGTGTGTGTACTATAGGCTGAGGCACGCGGTCAGTGTGTGCAGGTTGACGAACGTCACGAGTGCAGGTTGTGTCCTGTGTGTGTACTATAGGCTGAGGCACGCGGTCAGTGTGTGCACGTTGACGAACGTCACGAGTGCAGGTTGTGTGTTGTGTGTGTACTATAGGCTGAGGCACGCGGTCAGTGTGTGCAGGTTGACGAACGTCACGAGTGCAGGTTGTGTCCTGTGTGTGTACTATAGGCTGAGGCACGCGGTCAGTGTGTGCAGGTTGACGAACGTCACGAGTGCAGGTTGTGTCCTGTGTGTGTACTATAGGCTTAGGCACGCGGTCAGTGTGTGCAGGTTGACGAAAGTCACGAGTGCAGGTTGTGTGTTGTGTGTGTACAGGCTGAGGCACGCGGTCAGTGTGTGCAGGTTGACGAACGTCACGAGTGCAGGTTGTGTGTGTACAGGCTGAGGCACGCGGTCAGTGTGTGCAGGTTGACGAACGTCACGAGTGCAGGTTGTGTGTTGTGTGTGTACAGGCTGAGGAACGCGGTCAGTGTGTGCAGGTTGACGAACGTCACGAGTGCAGGTTGTGTCCTGTGTGTGTACTATAGGCTGAGGCACGCGGTCAGTGTGTGCAGGTTGACGAACGTCACGAGTGCAGGTTGTGTGTTGTGTGTGTACTATAGGCTGAGGCACGCGGTCAGTGTGTGCAGGTTGACGAACGTCACGAGTGCAGGTTGTGTCCTGTGTGTGTACTATAGGCTGAGGCACGCGGTCAGTGTGTGCAGGTTGACGAACGTCACGAGTGCAGGTTGTGTCCTGTGTGTGTACTATAGGCTGAGGCACGCGGTCAGTGTGTGCAGGTTGACGAACGTCACGAGTGCAGGTTGTGTGTTGTGTGTGTACAGGCTGAGGCACGCGGTCAGTGTGTGCAGGTTGACGAACGTCACGAATGCAGGTTGTGTGTTGTGTGTGTACTATAGGCTGAGGCACGCGGTCAGTGTGTGCAGGTTGACGAACGTCACGAGTGCAGGTTGTGTGTTGTGTGTGTACAGGCTGAGGCACGCGGTCAGTGTGTGCAGGTTGACGAACGTCACGAGTGCTGGTTGTGTGTTGTGTGTGTACTATAGGCTGAGGCACGCGGTCAGTGTGTGCAGGTTGACGAACGTCACGAGTGCAGGTTGTGTGTTGTGTGTGTACTATAGGCTGAGGCACGCGGTCAGTGTGTGCAGGTTGACGAACGTCACGAGTGCAGGTTGTGTCTTGTGTGTGTACTATAGGCTGAGGCACGCGGTCAGTGTGTGCAGGTTGACGAACGTCACGAGTGCAGGTTGTGTCTTGTGTGTGTACTATAGGCTGAGGCACGCGGTCAGTGTGTGCAGGTTGACGAACGTCACGAGTGCAGGTTGTGTGTTGTGTGTGTACAGGCTGAGGCACGCGGTCAGTGTGTGCAGGTTGACGAACGTCACGAGTGCTGGTTGTGTGTTGTGTGTGTACTATAGGCTGAGGCACGCGGTCAGTGTGTGCAGGTTGACGAACGTCACGAGTGCTGGTTGTGTGTTGTGTGTGTACTATAGGCTGAGGCACGCGGTCAGTGTGTGCAGGTTGACGAACGTCACGAGTGCAGGTTGTGTCTTGTGTGTGTACTATAGGCTGAGGCACGCGGTCAGTGTGTGTGCAGGTTGACGAACGTCACGAGTGCAGTTTGTGTATTGTGTGCGCAGGCTGACGAACGCGATCAACACGCGCGGCAAGCAGCTGGTGCTGCGTCTGAACGAGGTGTGCGACGGCAAGCAGCGCACGCTCGCCGAGAAGAAGCAGGCGCTCGAGCAGCTCGCCGCCATCACCGACCACTGCGTGCGCTTCGTCAACGCCGCGCTCGAGCAGGTACACAGCCACCACCAATCACCACTCACTACCACTGATTTGCACCGTGTTGTGCAGAAATATTTTAGCCTACATAAAACATATAAGTCCCTATTAAGTTACCGCGCATTGAGATTCCCATAATTGATGGGAACATTCAAGAGTTTCTATTTTTTTATGAAACATTTAAAGAGTAATGATTTCTTATATTTACGCGAACACTACGCATTGATTAAAACTACTTTTACAGATTTTATCTTCTTTTTTTGAAAGAAAGAAAGAAAGAAAGAAACAGATTTTATTTGGCACATGCAACACACTCAAGTGGATTACATAAAACAAATAACATTTAAGTTGGCATACAAACAAAAAACAAAAAAAAAAAATTTACATAGAAATCATGAAACAGGACATTCACTCCTTGTTTACAGATATGATAAAAAAAAAAAACCAAAAAAAAAAGCAAACAATAATATAAAAAAAGAAAAAAAAATAATAATAATAAAGAACTAGAGAATAAGGAGTAATGCATAGGGTGTATTACAAAGACAATCCACCCGTTAATGCTGCTCTGCTCCAAAAAGGAAAGCCACTCAGGATATGTTGGAATGTATCAGAAGTACAACACCCCAACCCTGATTTTCAGTGGCACCCTTATATATTTAAAATAAAAATACACAAATAAGTATAAAAAAATATATATACATATATTATATATTCTTTATATGCAGAGGGCAGTTCTGTTGTGTTAAACCAAATATAATAACAAAAATTTATTTCTTGTAATATTGTCATAATTCTTATAAAATATTCTTAATACTGTAAGAGGTTGCATTGAAATTCACTCAGGAACGTAATTAAGTTTAAGCTACAAACAAATACACAAACCAGCATTACATAATTTCAATAAATAATATATACATACTCAAACACACACACATATACATATATATATATGTATGTACATATATATACATAAATATAAACAAGCACACATACATACACATATACACGCTCATACATTATTTATAAAATTACATACTATCAAAATATTTGCACTACTTAACTTTGAGATTGCTGATCTAAGAGGAACAATTTAAATTTTTGACGGAAGCTATGTATCGATTGTATATTACGGAACGGCGGCGGCAAGTTGTTCCAACACTTGGTTGCTGCATATCGAAAACTGCCTCGAAACGCAGCGGTGCGGTGTTGAGGCAGAAGCAACCCGTACGCTGAAGCTCTTGTCACTACATTTGTTAAGACGTTGTCTCGAGCCCAGCGCAATTTTTCATAGAGATAAGACGGCGTCCTGTATTTTATACAACCAAACAACAGCGTAGCAAAATGCAACTGCCACCGGTAATCCATTTTGAGCATTTTCGCATTATTAATGTAAGGTGTAACATGTGTACGGGGAGGTATTTTAAAACAGAAACGGGCACAGGCATTTTGTACGCGCTGTATAAGTTTCTTTGAACGGTTGAGGAGTCTAGGACCTATTACTGCATCTGCATAATTGAATTTGGACCGTATCAAGGACTCACATAATCTGATACGGACTTCCGTCTTTAATACATCCCTTATCTGGTATAGAACTTTTAATCTGTAAAAACAATTTTAACGTTATTTATTATATGTTTTTCGAAGTGTAGTGCCTCATCCATCAATATTCCTAAATTTCTAATCTCAGTAACTCGATCAATATTTATATTTTTAATTGAAATTAAAGGACGATTTGCCAAAACTTTATTTACTTGTTTTTGGGTACCAAGTAGCATATATTTCGTTTTATTAGGATTGAGTACTAATGTATTTGCTTCAGACCAGTCGACTATACGATTTAGGTCTTCATGTAATTTTTGTATGGCTACAGTACTCTCATTTGGCTTGAAAGAAATATACACTTGTATATCATCAGCATATATATGATAGCTACAGTTTAATATATGTTTTACGATATCAGCACTATACAGCGAAAAAATCAAGGGACCAAGTATTGAACCCTGCGGAACACCTCTTGTAACAGCACAGCAATCAGATGCTATTTTATTGCCGTTTTCATCTATTACTTCGACAATTTGCCTACGGTCATTAAAATAGCTACGAAACCAATCTATAGCTTCCGAGCTCAATCCATAGTAGTTTAATTTAGAGAATAACAACTCCCTATTTAACGTGTCAAATGCACGGGAATAGTCTAGAAGAACTAGAATTGTAACCATACCGGAATCCCGAGCACTTAAAACATTATCCACTACATCGGCCAAAGCTGTTGTAGTACTATGTCGTTTCCTAAAGCCAGACTGTACACTCGGTAGAATTTCATTTTGGTCTAAATAATGAGTTAACTGATTACATACTGCTTTCTCTAGGATTTTAGACAAACAGGGTAATACGCTAACAGGTCGCAGGTCTTTAAAATTCCTAATATTATCTGTCTTAGGAATCGGCGTTATTAAAGCAGTTTGCCACTGTTTGGGAAATGTCTTAGCTCTCAGAGAACTATTCATAATTACCGTAATAACATTTATAGAGTATGGGAGAGTGGATAACAGCATTTCCAGTGAAATTTCATCCAACCCAATGGCATTCGACTTCAGATCATGTAGAATTTTTAAAACTGTGTTACTATCTATTTCCTTAAATTCAAAAGTTTTAGCGCTAAATTTATGGGTTTCGAAGTAGTTGATAGCGGATTGAGAAGCAAAATTTTGGCCTGGAACGTCAAGGAAATGTTTATTAATTTTTTTTGGGTCACACAAATTGTATGGTAGGCAAGTATTATGTTTATTTTTTATATTTATTTGACGATGTAAGTGCGTCCATAACGTTTTAGAGTTTCTAATATTACAATTAATGTACGTGTTAAAATAAGCGTCTTCCAGCTTCTGTTCTTTCCAGCACCCATGGTCACGGGGTACTGAGATGACTGATGTCTCGATGTCATTGTTAAACCCACTCCGAGTTCATTTTGCATAGATCTGACCATAAACAATAATTAAAAAAGATGAAGGTACTCCGGGTTTAACAATGACATCAGGACGTCAGTCATCTCAGTCCCCCGTGACCATGGGTGCTGGAAAGAACCCGAAACGTCGGGAATTAAAAACAATTAAAATTAAACGCGTGAAATCCGTAAAAGTAGTTTTAATCAACATTTAAATAGTAATTCGCGGTAATCCGTCGCTGACTGACTCGGAACGCATTACTTATTTATGAAATAATTTAACTGGAAAAGTTAAACATTTTGAAGCTGGGTTTGTGCCACCTGGCGAAATTTTACACCGGTATGAGATGCTCTTAACTTAAAAGTAGCGTTTGAGGATTTGGGCATTAGGCACTTGGTACGTTAATTGAAGGTGACGCACCGGTATTGAACTGAGCGGTAGATTGCGGTGTTGCAGGGCAGCGACACGGCGGTGCTGTACAGCAAGCGCGCAGTGTGCGCGCATCTGCAGCGCATCAAGAGCCGCCGCGCTGACATCCCCAACCCCGAGATACCCGTGCGCATCAGCCTGGCGCTCGACAAGCTGCCCGACCTGGTGCGAGGTCGGTACGCGCATGCACACATACAAACGTACGCGCACGTACACGTACACACACACACACGTACACACGCACGCACACATACACACACACGTGCACGTACACACATACGCACACGTACACGCGCACGCACACTTACACACACACGCGCATGTACACACGCACGTACACGGTAGGAAGGAAACTATTATAATATTTACTTTCAATTTATAATCATGTTAAAATATGTTTTATAAATGCTGCCTCCTAAGTTTGGAGAATGACCTCATTTTTATCGTATACACTCCGCACATCCACACACACTAACGTACACGCGCACACACGCAAGCACACGTACACACTGTAATGTAGGAAAGGTGTCGTGTCATAGAAGGCGACGTGTTTGTTGGTACTAAAACTTTAATTATACAGCTGTCAATAACTGTAGTCTACATTAATATATAATACATCGTGTGAACAGCTGTACATCACAAAAAACACAGCTACAATTAACAATTTGCAACAATTAACACGAGCACCCACAATTTACATTAATATATAAGTCGGACATTTTTACACCGCCTCTACACGGTCAAGTTGTGATATATGGTTTTATGACAATGTCCAGTGTTGTCAACGATCGGCGCGATCGTGGTGGACGGTAAGGTGGACGGCGGTGCACAGGGACCCTACCACCCGCCCGCCGCCACTCCACCTGCGCAGCAGCAGCACCAGCAGCAACAACTCCAACAGCAGAACCATCAACAGCAGCAGCAGAACCATCAGCAGCAGCAGCACCTGCAGCAACTGCAGCAGCAGCGGCCGCCGCAGCACCCTACGCCGCCGCAGTCCGCCGTAGTGGCGCTGCAGCAGGTCGCCATGCACCAGGTAATTACCTCTTACTTCTCCTTCTCCATCTGCCTATACTAACAGTCAACTGCTAGGAGGCGGTCACTACTATTCTGGTGCGCGCGGCTCACAGCTTCATCTGTACTATTGCACAACTGCGCCTGATCTTACTGCCAATGCTAATGTAACTTTTAAAAATTAAAACTACAACCCATATGATTCAACGAAACGGAAACGCGACACAGCCTATATACGTCCCACTGCTGGGCTCAGGCCTCCCCTCATTTCTGAGAGGGTTTAGGGCAAGGAAGTGTCCGCCGCGCTGCCCAAATGCGTGTTGACGAACTTCACATGTCTTCGAAATATTTTTTTTCTTATTCCTCAGACATGCAGGTTTCCTCACGATGTTTTCCTTCACCTCCGAGCACGTGGTAAATTAAATATCTAATAATAAATATCTAATAAATTATAAATTTAGCGATAATTAAAATTGATATGTATTTATATATATATATATATATATATATATATATATATATATATATAATTGAGTTTGACTTTGAGAAAGTAGTTTGTTCAGAATCGTTTACTAAATCGATTTCTATCATTTTTAATACAGATAATTTTTTATCCCAAAAATCATTAAAACTACGTAAATTACAGTCACACTAAATCTGTACAGTCAAAACAAACAGAAATGGAATGTAACTTAAGAGAATAAGACCTTTAAGAGTGCAGTTTTATTTGTATTATTACTAATTCTGTCATTCAATAAAAATAAAGAAAAATGAACTTTATTTCAAGCACGTTAAAGTCTTTGCGTTCGTGGATTTTTTTTGTACTGTGACCACAACATTCGGAATTAGTAAAACTAATTTGATAAATAATCAGTGCATAAAAGTGTTTAACTAAAAATTCAGTGTATGTATTATGATTATAACATAATATACTGATTGGGGTGTCTGAGGGTGTGCGTTAATTACGTTACATATATCTAAATGAAAATTTTATGACTGTATTAATTTGTTGATAAAAATAATTTATAATAAAAAATACTTGCCCACCAACTCAAATACTAATAATGTTTACAAGTTTGGGAAGCTGAGAAGCTTTTACTTCTGAACTGCATTCCTACGACTGACAGGTTTTTTTTATAGAGTAAGTGTATGTTATGGCCCATAGACATCTATATTTATTACTCAATTGGGTTTATTTAACACTTTCCCTGTTCCATGAATCATATATGAACATTGCACTTGTTTAACTATTGTGTCTGTTTCGCAGACAGAGAAACTGTTACGAATCAAAATGCAGATGCGTTGTTGCTCCTGAGGACTGTGATGGAATGCCTTGTTTCCAGTAAAAAGGGGTTTCTGGTTCTCTACACTCACCATACACATCAGCATCAAGGTGCCATTATACGCTGCTATTATTTGTAAGAGCGTGGTCCTTCCCCGGGCAAGCTCAAGCTGACTACAAGCATAATATAGCTGCAGCATGGCTCTACCACGCATAAGAAAGACAAACTCGAAATGTCTAATTGTAACAGTTATCCAAAAAATAAAATAATAATAAGTGACGCGTCACGTCCATAATTTCCTAGGAGGTAGGCAAAGTCTACAGAGCCATACGCTACTCGGACCACGTTAAAAAAATATGCGCTTAGATGGAAAATTGTGACAGAAGTAAAAGTGTCTAGCACATCGCCTATATTTTTCCAAACCCAATATCTCATTAGTCGCTGTTACGACAACCTACGCAATAACACAGTTGACACGTTATTTTTTGCTCAGTCAGTAAGTCACACATAAACGTGGCAGTAATAAGTCGCAAACCAACATAAGACATTGTTATAATGTGTGTTTGTTAACTGTTACATGTCTCAGACATTGGCACGGTACCAGGTCAGTCCTTCTAGACCTTTGTGACAATTTGTTATTATGTTTTATATTAGTTTTATTTCAACTTCACTCATTAATAGCATTAATGTCTTGCGTACATACAGCAAATGTTTAAATATATTTAAAATATGTTTTTTTTATTACATACTTTGTAGAAGAAAATAGCAATAATTTTAATACAGCGGTGCATTTCAAAAATATATTTAGCATCTATGTTGTGATTTGTGAGTCAAATTAAATTTTAATGGTAATATTTTAGAAATTGAGATCCTACTTAAGTTCAGATTTCTTTAAGCCTTTTTGATGTTTTCACTGAATAACTAGTATATGAAGTAAAACGTAAAATGTTGGAAATGAACTTAGATCTTTAGTTGCTATATATATTGTAAAATAAAAGAATAAAAGATCTATCGTTTTGGTTTAGATTAGTAATTGGATGCATGTTGGTGTTATTAAAACTTAAAGTTAAAATGTTGCCATTAGTATTTGTTCGTAAAATTTCCTTAATTTTTTGTATATTTTCTAGATGTATTTGGTATGGTTATCTTTATCTTATCCCTTCCTTTTACTTAGCTCATAAATATTTAGAATATTTTTTTGTATAAAATTGAAGTAACAAACAACCTTACTGTTGCAAACGGCTACTATAGTGCAGGAGCAGGACACCTGCAGCCAACTTTGAACATAACATGTTACACTTCAGGATTCAGACGGAATGCCTCGTGGTCGGTAATTATCTCTATAATAGCTTCTATACCCTTCAGCGCCGTGTAGTGGCGGCGAAAGAGTACCACTACCCCATTTCATCCCGTGGGTGTCGTAAATGGTGACAGAGAATAGGAACAGGGTAGTGCTATTTTCCTTAGGTAATTAGTGAGAAGGTGGTACCGAACTAGACGTTCCTCGGCAAAAAGGCTCGGTGGAAAAGTTTCTTCGTATTTTATATACAAATATAAGATTTCTTTTTTTCAAATTTTAATTACATTTAATTAAAATATATGTGTGCCATTTTGTTTGATAACTTGTTGCCATCTTGTAGGTAGTGACATAATCCTGTTGCTGTATAAATCTTGGAAATATGATCAAAAATGCGACAAGTAGTTTTGAGTTTTGACAGTCCTCTCTTGAAGTTAACCTAACACTACCCAAAGAATTCTTTAGAGACCGAAACAGCTGAAAATCTGAGGGCGCAGCAAGCTCAGGACTATGGTGAATGCCATCGATCACTAATAAAGAACTAGCTACACAATCCCATACAAAAGTTCTCTAAAAACTGTCGTCAACTGTTGTTACGTAATTCTAGTTGAAATAAATATAAATTTATGTAAATTCAACCTTAAATACATTGCCTATAGTTGTATTCACAAAGATACGTACGAAAAGCAATAAATTTTTATGACTGATACTGGCTGGTCAACCTATATCAAAACAAATTCAACCTTAGACGCGTGTTTTAAAGTCAGAATTACAAATTGCTAATAAAAAGCAATCAAATTTTACGACCGAGGCTCGTAGCTTGGACAAGGAATCATTAGAGTCGAACTGCCCAATATTTTTTGTTACTGTTTTAATTTTGAAACTTGTTTTAAAAACTTGTGTACATAAAGCATATTCAATTATATTCTATGATGTATTATATGTAATGGTTATAATTTACCTGAATTTTAATACGTTTTAAGTAGGACACCACATTTATTTAGTAACGAAAGTACTTGAAACAGTCATAATTATTTATTTATTCTTCATCTTGTGTCAAAAATTTAAAAATATTGCTTGACAAAGAACTTAAATCTAAATTCAATAGTTACTAAATATTAAAAGTATGTACAGAAAGTTGTAAGTTGTTGTCACATATTCATCACTTTCTAAAATATGCTTCGAACATACAACGCTTCCTTGGGTCGGCTTGAAGAATTCTGCGGACCTTTGACATGCTATGACTGACATCCATTCTGCACACCTATCTGGATCTTGAGGAAAGCTGAAAAATTAAAAATAAAATCTCACATCTTTAATTTTACTACACGCACGTATTCAAAATTAAGTCTATATATTGTTACTATAATATTTAAAGAAACTATAAAGAAGTCTCATTAAAAAAAAAAAAAAAACAATCATACTATAACATCTCCAAGAAATGGAACAGAGTCAACGCACATACCTCGAACAGTTATCACTTATTTTATTAAGACTTAATTTAAAAAAATGTTTTACGGAGATTTCTTGACAAAATACATATAAGTATTTACAATACAGTGATAAAAATTAAATAATGATAATATTAATACGTACCGAAATTAGGAAATTCCATCACTTTTTAGCGTCCTGGATGTGTGATTTGTACACTTTTTAAACGAGCACTGAGGCATGTTTACCGTCGGAGCGTTCGAATGTAACTAGATTAAAAGCGCACTCAAATGTTCGAATGGGTGCTCATTTGGTGAGGTCGTTTTTGTCACTGATTGTGTATCTAGTTTTTAATTAGTGATCGATAGTAAATGCACTAATACTTCCCAACCAAGCTCTCTCAATTTTTGTTGAGTGGCCAAAGATCTGTGTCGTTTAACGTTATCATGATTTGATCAATTCCGGTTGTTTTTTTTTATCTTCTATTTCTTGTTTGAGTCTCATTATCTTCAGTCGAGATTCCAAAATCATAAAGCCACATTATCATCTCTCAACATTTTAATTCCGTCTGTGTGTTGCAAAAACAAATTATCAGGAAAACTATTTTGAGCTCTATAAAAAATATTTGGAATGGGACTTGCTGAATTAGACATATGGCGGATAAAATGGGTGGAAGAATCTGAACTAGATCGACCAACATGTGCTATTGATTGAGAAACTCCACAAGTCAGGAAAGACTAAACGGTTTGGCGTTAATGTCAATCCACCGCAGAAATGACATCGACACCGAGGAGGTAATTGATTTGTTCGCTGCAAAGAAAGCTAGAAGAGTTTTTTCTTTTTTATGTTTTTCTACTGTTCCACAAATTCAAATCCTATCCCCCCACCCCCACCCCCCGGTTTAAATTATTTTCTGGCTACGGCCTTGATTTAAACCTAGTAGGAGACTCCTTGTCAGTTTGTTATAAAGACAATGCTATGATATGTACGTTGAGGTTGGCCGCCGGGCCCGAGCTGTGATGCGGAAAAGTCTTACTTTGATAGTGTAAAACAGGACGGTGTAATTTACAAATATAGAGTAGTAGTCCCTTATATCTTACGAAAAAAAATTGATAAAATTAACGACGGCCATCTAGGTATAAATAAAATGAAAATTTTTTAAGGTTACGTGTATTATGCTCCAAGATCGGAATGTCGAGGAGGCTTGCAGGTTATATGCTGCGTGTTGTATCATAGTAGACATGCCGCCAAGGGCGTCCCTACACCCTTTGGAATTCCCGTGGCCCCGTTGCAGCTCGTACATGTCGATTTTGTAGATTGCGAGATTAAAGCCATTCCGTTGCGTAGTACGAGTTTCGATTCGATTCCACGATTAAAGTTATCGGAAGTATTTTTTCGAGATTCGGTTATCTATCGCTACTCGTGACGGATAATGGACCACCGTTTTCCTCCTAGAATACATCATTCTTTAAAACATATTGTAAAAAAGACAATTAAAAAGGCAATTAAAATAGTGTTGTGGGAGGATGAGGACATTTACACGGCTCTAATAAATTCCTTATTAAATGAAAAAATCCTTTTTAAATGGGCCGAGGTTAAGGTCGAGGTGGTTTGAGGACGCGACCAGTGCGGACTAGGGCCAGGATTAATTTTCAGGAGTAAGTTTAGTGCTAACGCCGAAGTAGATTTCGTAGTTAGTTTAGTAGTAGGTTTAGTGGGGAGAGATGAACGAATTAAAGGTTACTTGCTGTTAGAGTATAGTTAAGGTGGAAGGTAGATTAATAACCTTAAAATAAACCAGTCGTGTCTATACTCGCTTTGATTGATGATCCAATTACATATTTAGTATCCGATGTTTCGAAGGCTTTGCAGCGCCCATCACAGCGGAAGGCCCGTCTCTAATTTTTTTTTATTTTAAAAGGTTTTTTTTAACCAGGTTTCACTGTATTTATATGTAGTTTGTCTGTTTGTGTATAATGTACAGTTGTATGAAATTGTAGTTAGTATAAGTGATGTCGTGTGGTAGCAGTCGTACGTGCAGGCGGCTAGCGGTGCGATGGGCGGCGCGTTGGGCGGGGCACTGGGCGGCGCGATGGGCGGAGCTCTGGGGCGCGGGCGCGCGCACACGCCGCTGCGGCACGCGCACGTCACGTCCACCACGCACCCGCACCACCTACACGGTCAGTGAACACATGCGCGGCGCACTCACGCACGCACACACACGCTTGCATATGCACACGCACGCATATGTACACGCAAGCATGTGCACACGCAAGCGCACACGCACGCACGCATATGTACACGTACGCACACACACAGACCACCTGCCGCTCTTAGTACTTTACCTTCAAGAAATGAGTTTATTATTGATTAAAAGGACGGTGACACCTGCAATTGCCCTCAATCCCCACACACACCATCACGTGTGCCGCATGTACGTTTGCTCTCTCTTCTACAAAAAAACTTTACAACTACTATATTGTATGAGATTCTCATATCGTCATCATCTGGAAATCAATATAGACATTTTCAATATTGTAGCAAATTATGTTAGTATTATTAAATTTCCTCCATGGCTTGGCTTACACGTTTCCACGTTACAATGAAAATCATGGTCTGGGTACTCTTACACTTGCCACTTTATTAATAATTTTTTTATAGCATTGAGTGGCAAACGAGCACACAGTCCACCTGATGGTAAGTGGATGCTGCAGCCTGTGGACATACATATTTATACTCAATTAGGAATCAAAATGCAAATGAGTTGTCACCCCTTAGGACAAAGATGGAATGCCTCGAAGAAATAACAACATGTAATAATCTAACCCATGAAATGCTTATTATTATTTTTCTTTTAAATACTATATTTCTTCTTGAAAATACACTGCTATAGTTTTTTTTATATTGTCTTGAATTCATTATCTTGCATGCATTACCTTGATATTGACAGATAATTTTGGTTAAATAAACAATGGATTTTTTTTAATATGACTAATGTTAAACAGGATCGTGGGAGTTTCTGAATCGATGACCCTTCACTCCGAGGGACCATTGAATATGATCTGGTTTTCACTGTAGTAATCCGGCGAGTCTTCCAGTTACTAACTCGTCGATCTATCCCCTTGCCTAAGCAACCCCCACTACGTTAGGTTCGAAACAACGCAATGGGCGTATCCTTCGATAACGTCTGTTTCAGAAACACAAACGCCTGATCTTAAAAAGGTGGTTGATGCTTGATATTATGGGTCCTACGTTTGGTCCCGGTCTAGACATCAATTTATGTGGACTGTATAATAACTTCACTTTCCCTACCTTATAGGGTCGACACTGGGAATAAAACAGCAATTTTCTTGAAAATCTTGAGAAATGTGATAACTGATAACTGTAGCTGGTGAGATTGAACCATTGGAGAAATTGAACCGAAGAAGTCGAACAAATTGTGAATAATTTACCATAGGGGTATACTTTTCTGGCAATATCGTAAAGTGGGCTGTGTGCAAAAAAGCCTCCTATCTTGCGCGCATTAAAATAACTTTATTTTTCATAAAAGTACATACAAAAATTATATTTTTCCAAGAAGAACACACAAGATTACATAATAAAAACAACAAATATATATATATATATATATATATATATATATATATATATATATATATATATATATATATATATATATATAAATATTAATGTCGTATAAAAACACATACATTTTATACGACATTAATAAAATACAAAGCATTATTACGTAATTTACATCTTATCATACATGTTGTACACCTTAAAATCTAAAATATTAAACTTTATTATAACTTATAGTAACAAATATTGTTCAATTTACACAGGTCTTATCATAATTAACATTTATTTTATACAATTAGACATCTAATACAGAAAAAAAAGCTTTAATCGCGTCTTTTAAACAAAGTTTTAAGAAAAATTATCTACAGGATATGACGTCAACTGATAAGAGGTTGTCATCCTCTCGCTCTAGCAGTGGCTGTCCTTGTTTTTCTTCACATATATCTCTACTACTCTAACATTATATTATCTCTTTCCTTCGAAAGCGGTGGAATCTTGTTAGAACATATAATAAATAATATTTTTGAATTATTTTTAGTAAAATTTCTTTTTAATCATTTAATATCTCCATTCGTGTTGCGTAATTGATTGTTACGTAACACATGATTCTAATTAAATAAAAATTCGTTCATACCTCGCTACATTCATTTAACATTCGCACATTCACACACTATCTTAAGTTTCAGGGATTAGCCTTTCTACATAATCAATGATTTAATGCCAATTTTAGGTTTGCGACGCTAACAAATGTTTTTCATTGTTTTTTTTTTCGCAATTAAAAATCTTGTATTATTTTATTGTAATTACCATTCACCATAGAATCGTCATTGCAATTTGCAAGCACACTTCCTACACTTACGTAATGCAGTATTGTTTAATTGGTACTTTAGGCATGAGCGAGATGAATCTCCGTGGACTGCTTAACGCGGGCGGGCAGCGACGCGCGCTCGCACTGCCTCAGGCACAGGCACAGGCGCACAGGCGCAGGCGCAGGCGCACGCCATACACGCCTACCAGCACAGTGAGTGCGCACGGTCTGTGCAGTCTACACACAACGCAACCGACCCACTTTATTCATGTCATTTTATTTATTATAAGCGCCACTCCAACAACATGATTTTAGTGTTCTGTACCAAAATTAGCTAAATTTAACACATAAGGAATGATCAAAGATCGGTGTCCTTTTTTATTTCACATTATAGAATTGTCGAGATTCAGTAATCACCCGTGCGAAGCTGGCCCGGATTGTTAGTGTACTAAAAAATTGAACTGTCCGTCATAGTCCACTATGGAAGATAGATAGGCTTCCTCTCAAACTGTCTCACAAGAGCAGTTTTTGCCTAAGGCGGATTGGTTGTCACAGTTTTTTTATTTTCTAATTGTTGTTTATTGATGCCATAGACGATCCAGTTTACCGTCAAGTTTACTGCTGTTGTCCACGTTCTGGCCAGTTTCCTTCTGTGGCCTCTTACGACACTCAGGAGACGATGTAGGGGTGTTGTTCATCTTTACACCGCCACTACACGGTGAAGCAGTCTAATATCATTAAAATATAAATAATATATAGAATTAATTTTATTGTAGTAATGTAGTGGATTCAATTATACTTATAACATTGCTCGGCCCTAATTTGTATAATCAAGTCAATGCAATTTTGTACATATATCCATTAAAAATAGCGAACTGTAAAAAGGTAAATCGAACATGGTTACAAAATTTGTCATAGGATGATATGGAGAAGTTGCTGATTGTTTTAAGTTAATTAATATCATAAGTAAATTAATAATAATATATTTTACCTAAATGATCCTTATTAGTTAGTACGTTATTCATTTTATATAAGAAACAGAAAATATTTGTTAATGTATCTTTTAGCACATACACCTGAGATACAGGTTTATCCTAGTTCAGGTGCCTGTTATTGTAGACTATTTTTAAGTTAAACTTATTGGAATAATTTGTACAGTTTATCAAAATAAAATAAATTATTATTATTATTTATATAACTAAATATTGTATACAGTGAACGTATTTTCTTTTTCAAAGAACTATTCTATTTCTTAATCTCTATTCATTAATAAGAATTAATTTGAATTTGCATTTATTTTGAATAAAACTACTACGGATTTTACTTTTGGTCTGATCTAATTATTGAAAGGCTGAAGCTTCTAATCATTGAACACCCGTCTCTCCGTGACGCAGGGAGCTGCAAACCACCTGAAACGTCGAAAATTAAAAATAAGTATAATTAAATGCGATAAAATCTGTAAAAGTAGTATTCGCGTAAATATAAGAAATGATTGAATTTTATTTGACATTGGTGTCGTTTGCAGTGATGGGCGCGTACGGGTACGGCGGCGCTTCGGGAGCAGCGGGTGGCGGGGCGGTGGGCGGGGCGGGCGGCGTCGCATGCAGCGGGCGGCGCAGCGTGGGTCCGCGCACGCCGTCGCCCGCGCCGCCCTACGCGCCGCCGCCCGCCCCACCCGCGGTTCCCGCCCCGCACACGCCGCACGCGGCCAAGTGGCACATCCCGCAGCACCAGCTAGCCAACGGTACCCATCACCACGCCATACCACCACGCTACACCACCACGTTACACCACAAATATTCATTCACTCATCCCTACACCAGTACTCATACTGCATCACATTTTTGAAATGAAAACTTCCGTCACGCTCGGCTCGATGATGCTGAATCGGGTTCAATTTGCTTCACTCGACATAAGCCACGTTTATTGTCTAACAAGAAGTGCATCATTTCAATAATTGCGTTTTTATTATTTCGTATTATAATAATATTGTAATATTATGTATGTTTTGCTTAGTGTACTATTAGTGTAGTATCAGTGAATCAAGTGTATATACTGTTCATATACAACATGTAACATAATAAACGCACGTCCTGAAAGTAGTTTGTTCAGAATCGTTTACTGAATCGATTTCTATCATTTTTAATATATGTAATTTTTTATTCCAAAAATTATTAAAAATACGTAAATTACAGTCACATTAAACCTGTACAGTCAAAACAAACCGAAATGGACCATAACTCAAGGCAATAAGACTTTTAAAAGAGCAGTTTTATTTGTATTAATACAAATTCCGTCATTCAATACAAAATAAAGAAAAATTAACCTTAGTTCAAGCACGTTAAAGTCTTTGTATTCGTGAATATGTACTATGACCACAACATTCTTCCGGAATTAGTACAACTAATTTAATAAATGATCAATGCATAAATATATTTAACTAAAATGTCAGTGTGTGAAATCGATTCAGTAAACGATTCTGAACAAACTACTTTCAGGATGTGCGTTAATTATGTTACGTGTTGTATAGTAGGTACCTAATACTTTATTTAAGGGTACCTTATTATATTGCAGACCTTTTTTACCGTCTCGAAAAAAATTGTGTGTAACATGTGGACGATGTAGAAGCCTGTCTTAGTAAAATTTAGGAATTAATGTCTAATTAAAAGTGAGTCATTCGATATTCATGAGTAACCTAACAAAAATGTTAAGATAAGGATTTAGATTTCTTTGGCCGGGGCTATCGATTTTCAAAATCCTAGAATTTTCCCCGCATAATACCAATCCCCAATAAATCCTCAACCAACTTTAAATTCCCCGCAATTTGGGGAATTGCCCACATGTTGGTAACGCTGAACATGTGTAAATTTCACAGCGCGAGGCGTCACGGTTCGGCCGGGCGGCGACAGCGCGTGTGTGAAAGGGAGGGGTAGAGTGAGCGAAGTACATTAATACCTATGCATTCGTTCGGACCGAGCTAAATAAAAGAGTTCAGTGTCCGCGCGTTTATTGACTCTATAATCAGCTGGTACCATTTTAACTTTCACTGCTGGTTTTATTTTTCAGTACTTTTTTGATTTTTAAAAATGAAATAATTGTTTCATTTAGCAGTACTAACATGATGGAGTGTGAATACAGCTAATAAAACGTTGTGAAAAGATGATTTTTTAAGCTATTGCATAGCTTCTATCGCGGGCCTTGGGTGCGGGGACCGAAACCAGAAATTCCGTAACGAAAAAACCTCACGCTCCCCACTCCGACGGGCACGGAGGTGTGGCTTGAAGGCCGTGCATTTTCTAACGTCGTTTCTTTTCGGCAGTCTTCGACACGGTGTTTGTGTGCGTGCAACTAGACGTATTGTACGACTCTACGAAGCTCGCACGAATCGAGACGAGCTGCTCCGAAATCGGACGAATACATAAGCAGCTGTTTATGAGAAAGTATATAGGGTATAGGTATTTATGTACAACAGTGATTAGCTGTACTTGTAAAATTTGTGTATAAAGTGTTTTGAATATGAATGAACAAAGTGCATTTATTATTTATTTATTTAATAAAAAGAAAAAAAATTGTTTTCTTATCGGTCACCACGCTCAAAAAGTGTAACTAGAATTAATATCAAAGAAAAAGAAATACTGCATAAATAAAATAAATAAATAATTATAATTGCATAAGTTGATACAAAATGCTATGCAATAGCTTTACCGCGGCAGTCCCCGAGTGCCACACGTCTTTTTTTTTAAATCGGGATCGAATTTCTTCTGATCCCATCGTCAAAGGTATCGTTAGTACTATCGTCTGTCTTCATTTTCGGGAGCGTTTCAAAAACACCCTGCATATGTAAAGAAGGCGAGAGAGACTGTCAGGATTGTGCTAAATGGAAGTCCGAAGTTTCTGCCTACCCCTTTGGGTAACATAGTGTTTTTTATGTTAAACTGACTGCTAAAAAAATGACTTAATAAGAATTACTTGTAATCTATATTGCATAAAATGATTGTATTGTATTGTGTATGTTGGTGTTGCAGGCCTGTTCGAGGGCGGGGCAGCGGGCGTGGGCGCGGGCGGCGGGATGGGCGGCGGGGCGGGGAGGGGCGCGGAGTTCAAGATCACGCTGAGCCGCCAGCACGCGCCGCGCCCGCCGCATGCCCCGCCGCCCGTCGTCACCTCTACCAACCCCAAGACGCCCAGCCCCAGCCTCAACGTAAGAAACCACGACAATATTCTTACTCTTCATGAGCCTTCACCATAGATTATCTTCTAGAGGAGGAATTTTGCTATAGTTGTCACGGTTGGCAGACGGGTTAGCAACTGCTGTTTCTTTTTTACGTTATGTTGTTATCAGGAAGATGCTGCTGACCATCTCCAAGTTGGTTTGCCTTGTCGTCTTATACGACCCTAACGAGATGATCTAGGGGAGTGGATTTCCTAACGGAGCCATTACACGACATCAAATTTTGTTGTCATCATCTGCCATTCTTAACCCTTCAATGCCCATAGAAATCCCATGCAGTCGCATGCGTCCGGCATATCCTGAGCGGTCGCATGCGACCGCAGCACTTTAAACTATTAAAACTTACATATAGAGACTACTTTTCTATGAAGAAGTTATAAGATCTGTACAAAATTCTCTATCCTGTGGGTCTAAACAAGTCAGGTTTTACTTCATTATAAAAAGATTTTATTGCATTTTGATAATTAAGAAACATACCAAGCGAATGTCGGCAGCGTGAAAATCACAATTATATATATATATATATATATATATATATATATATATATATATATATATATATATATATATATATATATTACTCGAATTTCACGTAAAAAGATAAAATATATTCGCTCAAAAACTTTCATTACAACTTTATAATAAAACCAAAAATCAACACAATAACATTCACACGAAAATGGCGTACGAAAAAAACGTAGATTATAAATAAATATCCATAAACTAACAGAATTTTTATTTCACTATAGGATTGAAAATTTCATATTGATTCGATAATGCCAATATGAAATTTTCAATCCCCCGTGGGATTCGAACGAAGACTAATGAAGTGTACAAAAACATATACATCTTTATCGAAACATGGCTAAATGCAAGTATCTCAGACAGTGAATTCATAGGCTCCAAGAAGGATGGTGGCGGAGTATTAATAGCAGTATCCCGTGAAATACCTTCTATGCGAATGTCTAACTGGGAAACTGTTTGCGAAGACCTTTGGGTAACATTGGATTCAGAATAAATGGCTCATATTTCACTCTTTCCATCTGTGCAGTATACTTCCGTCGCCACCCAGATTGGAGCAACAAAGGGTTTTCTTAGACAATCTGGACAGTGTGCTGAACCATATTGATAATGTAATTTGGGTGACTTTAATCTAAATTTTGTCGACTGGGAGTTTAACGATGACTGTAATCACACAATTCCTACTAATTATAATAATGATTTAGGACGCTGTCTGGTGGACTGCTTGTCTATGAATAATCTGTACCAACCTGGCTTACCATTTTTAAGGACTGTAAGGACGTCAATGATTTTGTTAACTGAATTTTACAAAAAAACTGAGGAGTGAAATTCACACATCTAAACCAATTCGGAACCCACCATGGTTTACTAAAAATCTATTAAAACTTATAAAAGATAAGGAAAAACTTAGAAAACGATATGCCAAGTCCGGCAGTCCTAGAGATAAGTATGAGTACAACCTTCTTCCCGAATGATGCTATAAACTTGTTCATATCTGCTACAATAATTACATGACAAAAATTGAGTCTAGCATCTGTAAAGATCCGGACAAATTTTGGCGTTTCATCAAAGATAAGCGCAAAGGTCTTTCTGTACTTCCCGCTAAAATGATACTGAAAGATTCAACTGCATCCTCAGGCACCGATATAGCGAACCTTTTTGCAAGTCACTTTTCTTCCGTGTACTCCAATAATAGTGTTATTGATGTTTCTCATAGTTATAATATTGTGAACATGAGTAATTCCATCGTTACGCTTGAATTGAGCGAGTCTCAAGTGTACAAAAAAATACAACACCTCAATGAAAAAAAGGACCTGGCCCTGACAACATACCACCCCTATTTGTGAAACGATGTGGGTCCGTTCTTGCCTTCCCGTTGACATTAATATTTAATCGCTCTTTAAGCGAAGAAAAGTTTCCCAGTGAATGGAAAAAAAAACCAGAATTATCCCTATTTATAAGAAAGGTGACGAGGCTGATGTTACGAACTATCGACCTATCTCCATTTTATCGTGTTTTTCTAAATTATTTGAATGCCTTGTTTACCCCATAGTCTACAGCCATACTGAAAACATTATATCTGATTTCCAACATGGTTTCAGGCGTGGTCGTTCGGTAGAGTCTAATTTGTCTTCCTTCGTGTCCGCGGTAGCGCAGGACGTGCCTTTGACAAAGTCGGCCACCAAGCCCTGCTGTCTAAACTAAGAGTAATGGGCATAAGTGGTTCACTGTTGCAGTCTTACCTGGCAATGAGACCTCAGCAAGTAGCTACAGATGGATTTGAATCTGGAATGTTTTTGGCTAAATCTGGTGTCCCCCAGGGGTCCCACTTGGGTCCTCTACTCTTTTTGATATTTATTAATGACATAGCTACATATATTGAAAATAGTAGTGTATCTATGTAAATATCGGATAACTTCCAGGCGAATATTAAAATGTTCTGGAAACTCGTAAGAACTGCCAGGGGACATTCAAAACAGCCTATAATTAATGCTATAAGAGACGAGAATGGATTTATTCTGAATGATAAAGTTTTGAGTTTAAAGAGATGGAAGGAATATTTTGAAAGCGTGTTTATGAGTGAGGAGACAACGTGTGTACTAAGTGAAGTAGAAACTCCGAAAGAAGAGGAAAGAGGTAGCGAGATAAGTATAGATGAAATAATGAAAGCAATGAAAAGCATGAAAGCAGGTAAGGCTGCCGGATATGATAGAGTTTCTCCCGAAATGCTAAGGGCTGGAGAGGAAGTGGTGGCAGGCATGCTGCACACCTTGTTTAATTTATGCTGAGAACTTAAGCGGGTACCGGGAGACTGGTGCAAAGCCGTGATAGTCCCAGTATATAAAGGAAACGGGTCGCATCAGGACTGTAAAAACTACCGTGGTATCAGCTTTCTTAGCATTGTAGGAAAACTGTATGCTAAGGTACTGATTGAAAGGGTCATGAAAGAAACTGATGGAAAAATTTGGGATGTGCAAGCGGGATTTAGAAAGGGAATGGGATGTACAGATCAAGTCTTTTCCATGCGCATGATCGCGGAGAAGTTTTTGGCCAAAAACCAGAAGGTTTTTTGTACGTTCATGGACTTGGAAAAGGCCTATGACAGAGTGGATAGGGGTATGCTATGGCAAACACTGAACTCATTTGGGTTGAGCGCTGGCTTGATACAGGCATTAGACTCTCTTTATAGAGACTCTAGTGCTTGTGTTAGGATCAACGGGGTCTACTCGGACTGGTTTGGCATCCATAAAGGTGTCAGACAGGGCTGTGTGGCTTCCCAGTGGCTGTTCAACCTATTTATAGACAGTTGTTTGCAAAATTTGAAAGTTGAAGAATGCGGATTAAGAATGGGTGAGTTAACCATCAAATGCCTTTTGTACGCCGATGATCAAGTTATTCTTGCGTCGTCGGCGGCCGAGTTGCAAATGATGGTTACATTAATGAACAGATCACTAAAAGAAAGGGGTATGAAAGTGAACGCAAGTAAGACGAAAGTTATGGTTTTTGAAAGAGAAGAAAGTAAAACGGTATGTGAAATAAGAGTAGAAGGGGAGTTGATCGAGCAAGTAGATGGGAGATGTGATAAGGATATAGAACGACGAGTGAATGCAGGCAATAGAGTAAATGGGGCCCTACACTCTATCGTGAAAAGTCAAAATGTGTCTAAAAAGGCACGTATGGCAATTCACAATGCTATGTTGGTCCCTACATTAACGTATGGTAGTGAAAGTTGGGTGTGGCAGAAGTACGAGAGTATAATAAACGCAGTAGAAATGCGGTCGTTAAGGAGTATGTTATTGCTGAATCTGAATGACAGGGTGAGAAATTGTGTGATAAGAGAAGAGTGTGGTTTGCAAGATGATGTTGTGACCAGGATTAAGAAAGGAATGCTTCGGTGGTTTGGTCATGTGGAAAGAATGAATGAGGAAAGAATGACAAAGAAAATTTATGTTGCAGAAGTCAAAGCAGAGTCGGAAAGGGACGTCCTAGGCGAAAATTTATCGACCAAATTGGCGATTTATTGAAAACGGGCCAAATTACGAGCACCCTTAACCGACGAGCATGTATGCGTAGGTGTATGGATGTGAAGGAGGCGAGAGAGGTGTGTCAGGATCGTGCCAAATGGAAGTCTGTAGTCTATATCTGATTTCCTACCCCTCTGGGTGACAGGCGTGAGTGTTTATGTCCTATGTTTGCTGACGATCTCAAATTGAGTAGAACGATCAAAAGTCCCGGGGATGCTGATCTTCTGCAATCTGACTTAAACAAACTCATGGATTGGTGTGCAATCAACGGAATGATTTTAAATCCTAACAAATGCTAACACATAAGCTACACCAGAAAAAGACGCCCCATCACTACTACCTACTCATTGGGTGATGTGACCTTGGCGGAGGTGAGGGAGATCAGGGACCTTAGTGTTTTGTTGGATTGTAAGCTGAAACTGACCGCTCACACTAATAATTTCGTTAAAAAGGCGACTCGTATGTTGGGATTACTAAAAAGACACGCGAAAGGCTTCCGATGTCTCCAAACTAAGGTTCTTTTCAATGCACTAGTACGTAGCCACCTCGAATTTGCAAGTGTTGCATGGAACCCAGTTTATAGTGCGTCTTCTCATCTAATAGAAACGATTCAAAGAGTTTTTACACGCTACCTTGCCTTTTCAACTCCAGGCATATCGCATAGACACCCCTATAGTCATAGGTTAGCATTTTTGAAAATGACAACCTTACGTGACCGACGTCTCATTGCAGACTTAATCTTTCGACACAAGTTACTGCATAAAAAAATCAAAAGTACGCACCTCCTCGATCACTTCAAATTAGTTATCCCGTACAGATATCCCCGATATCCAATTCGCAAACTATTTAGCATACCTTGCCACAAAACAAATTTAGGCGCACTTTATCCCCTAGCGAAAATATGTAACACATACAATGGAATTA